ATAAATTTAAAGTCAATCAGATATTAACTTTAGCCTCTAGAGCGTCCACAAGCAATTGTGGACGCCAGACCGACGGACTGACGGGGGTGACGACAATATACGACCACATTTCAATGTGGGCGTATAAAAACCAATATTACATGAATTTTTTAATATTTTATTTATACATTAATACAAATAACAACATGCCAATGCAATTTTAGCATGAATAGTGTTCAACTCCTTTTGCATACGCCTTAGCTTATTTTCCGAATATTTTATTTATACGATGTCAATGCAATTTTAATATGAATAGTGTCCTACTTCTTTCTTTGTATACGCCTTAGTTTATTTTCCGAATCCACATCAATTCTCGACACCAATTTCACTAAAATTACATTGCTTACAATCGAGTGATGCTCATAGCAAAACATTCAACTTGTAATACACTGTATAGTCATTTGCATGCATGTTGGTTTCACTATCACAGGATTACCAATGATAGAACAGATGAAAGGATAAAATTGAACATAGCCACTATTTCGACACGTGTTATCTTTAGATGTTCAGACTACCTTTAGTCTCAAATAACCCAACGTTAAAAGAAAGCATGCAGTGCCACCTTACAACAGGTTCCATTGATTTACGATTTATTTTATAACTTATCACAGTTTACACCACAGTGTTACGATTCGCATTTTGGTATTCTAAATGAATTCTTATTCGGATTTCTTATATTTGAATATGTTAAGTTTCATTTAGTGTACGGAAATTAAATCAACGATCAGTTTTAAAATTAATTATGGTTTCGAAATAATATCAATCTAATTTGTCTTATTTAAAAGAGCCTCCTGCAGGCCACGAAATTTCAAAATTTGGCGTAACCAGAAAAATGGTTGCGGGTTTATGCTCTGTGTAACCATTTTATTTGGTTACGCCAGATGACCATTGCGTAACCAATTGGTTACATAAAATGGTTGCGCTGTTTTCATGTTTTATCCAGATTTAAATGGTGCTATTATTCATTTCCACTTGCAGTGAATGTATTTTTTTTTTTGAGAAATAACTTGACTAATTTTATTCTTTTATATTTAATATTACATTTTGAGGTTAAGTGTTCATGACTTTAATCCCACGGTGTCCCCATTTAAACAATAAAACATTAGAAAAAAAATGTTCCACTTCACTAAATCCCTATATTTTAATAATGAGGGGAATCGGTTCCAAAAATTACTAATGGATTTTCGTTTTTATATCATATCTGACCTTCAAAAACCAGGAATGGTAGCTACCACATTGTCTTCGGTCACTGAAGACTACATGCGTACTTCATATGACACTTGTCACTTGCAATTATTTATCAAAGCATGTAGCATGTGATAGCCTCACTCATAGGTAGCAACTGATTGACAAACAGTATTATAAACCTTGGCACTCTATACACAAAGTCTCAAAAGGAAACATAATAGTTTGTAGTCGGAGAGAATGGCATATTTTGTGTGAAAAAATTCCCACTAAAATGATTCCTGATTTTTCTGAAACTATAGGATGGGTAGTGTTCCAATAAAATTCCCCCCGTTAATCGGCCTTGGGGAAAAAAATTTTCAGCCATTTTTAGGTTTGGTATCCGAACTTTTGTAAAATTTCATTTTTTGGGCCCCTGATTGGTCAATGGTACTTTGTATGGTGTCGATATAAAGGTTTTCGGGGTCGGAGAATGCGAAAATGGTGTTTATTTTGTCGTACGGTTACCATGGTAACCATATTTTCAGGTTTGGTATCCGATTTTTATGATTTTTTTCATAATTATTTTGTAGTACACACTTCACATGTACTACAAAATAATTATGAAAAAAATCACAAAAATCGATTACCAAACCGGAAAATATGGTTACCATGGTAACCGTACGACAAAAATAAACACCATTTTCGCATTCCCCGACCTCGAAAACCTATATATCGACACCATACAAAGTACCATTGACCAATCAGTTCGGATACCAAACCTAAAAATTGTATAATTTTTTTTCCCCCCAAGGCCGATTAACGGGGGGAATTTTTCTGGAACACTACTCATCCTAGTTTCAGAAAAAATCAGGAATCATTTTAGTGGGAATTTTTTCACGCTAAGCAGGCCATATGGAGTCAGCCTCCTCGACTATATGATGTCATGTAATAATATTAAAATAGACAGGCCAGTAAAATCGTTTACATTTATCGCTCGAGCGATGCCGGGGGAGGGGGTCAAAGTTGATGACATACATACGGGTCATTGGTACTACAGCATAGCTATAGTGAAAACTGAAAGGAACACGTGTAGTAAATTCTTTGGAAATATAGCCGACATGTTAAATAGTCCAACTCATTTCTCATTTTGTGTTTGAAAATCCAAAGGTACGCTTTCAAATATTTATGGCATAACTAATCATTTAAAGAATTAGGGGTGGGAGGCATTTTTAAATCAACATGCTTGCAACTGGTCAATAGCTGACGCAGTACGTGGTGTCAAAATATGTGATCTGTCAAAGTACCGGTAAGATGCAGAAATGAAATGCCAAGAATGAATGAATGGAGTTTGTACTATAATACAAATAATTTAGACCCTTGTCACAAAGTCATCCTGTATAAAAATTGATCAAATGTGAATAAATCTGTTAATGAAATTTGTTAACGTAACCGATATTTCAAATTGCGTAACCAGGAAATTGGTCGCGTGTTTTTGAGCTAGCGCGACCGCACGTAACCGATTGGTATCGTTCACGTGAAATTTTGTGGCCTGCTCCTGCGCAATTTAATTGATTATTTGGTAATACGTAGAGTCCATGATGTATTTTTGGCGAGTGATTCAGCTGTCAATATGTAATTATAAAACACCTTTTTATAAAGAAGATAAATGTTAGACATCATAAACTAACAAACAATACCAGTATACTTTATTACAAAACCCCGGTGAACTAATCTAAAATCATAACGGAAATTAACTAACAATACGAATAAACAATACATTCGAATATACAGCGGTGAACTAATCTCGGTCGTGATTGGTAATCAACAAAAATCGAGTAAAACTTATTTATTCCATACATTGTTTATTTAACAATAAGTAAGTGTTTAACAGTTTATTTAACGTTCAGTAAGCTTACAACTCCGGTAATTGACTGCTATTATATATAATAATAACAAAGGGGATGAAACAGCCCGATAAAAGATAGGTTGTCAGGCAACGAAACATACGCCCACAGCAGCTAAATTGTCCGGGCAGTCAACAAGAGTTGTCGCATATTTTTACTTTTTTCGGTAATGAAACATTTATAATACACTAAAATCTGATTAAGAGCAACAACTTAGAAAACCATTAGAATTTGTTTGTTTTTTATAAAGTTCTGCCCCATGCTAACGTTTTGTATACAAAACTTTTAATACTGTATCATGGATTTAGCTGTTCCAAGTCATAAAAATTCATTGAAAATCAATATACTTGTTCGCCTAAAGATCTTAAACTCTGTGTATCAATTTGAAGTCAATAGGATATTAACTTTGGCCTCTAGAGCGTCCACAAGATTTTTCAAAGTGATCAAGGGCCATAACTCTGGCAGTAATTATCGGAAATCGCTGAAAATCAATAGGCTTCTTTGTCTCATGACCTTAAACACGGTGTATAAACTTAAAGTCAATCGGATATTAAATTTGGCAACAAGAGCGTCCACAAGATTTTTTGAAGTGATCAAGGGCCATAACTCTGGCAGTAACTATCGGAAATCGCTGAAAATCAATAGGCTTCTTCGTCTCATGACCTTAAACACTGTATATAAATCTAAAGTCAATCGGATATTAACTTTAACCTCTAGAGCGTCCACAAGCAATTGTGGACGCCGGACCGACGGGACGACAATATACGACCACATTTCAATGTGGGCGTATAAAAATCAGGTTGGGATGAAACAGCCCAGGGTGAAACGGTTGTGGGATGAACTGACCCACATCCAAATATTGAGACACAAAAATGGGAGTTGCATCAAACATGAATCCCAAAGTAATAATGGTGAGTTTCAACCTGTGATTGACCTACTTAAAAAGCACAAAGTTAATGCGAGAATTTCATATTTTCTAAGAAAGTCAAAACATAATTATTTCTATGTCTTTTGCTCAATAGGTTATCAACTCACTATTATACGACCATGGGCATTACATGTATTTCCCACCCTTAAAAATCATTGACACAGGAAATAACACAATTACCTCCCTGGAATTCCTATTGCCTCCATGCATAAGCTACCTTCAAACGTTGGAATTTGAAGTTGAAAAAGATACTTTTGCCAATTTCTCAGCTAGCAATAGTGAATTATAGGATTTATTGGATTATTCTTTAACAAGGTAGGACGGATTATGGATACCATCTATATTAAGGCTTTATTTTAATAAATTTTACAAATATAACTTAAAAATATGAAATTATAGCTTTAAAGATACCGACCTTGGTTGGAGATAGTCACTACAGAATCTAGATCAATATTAGTCACAAGTGACTCAACAATTAAGTATTATTGGCCATTGTGGGCACATTGTCAAAATATTACGTTGGCTTTTAAAAATAAATAGTACTTAAAACATTAACAATGACGTGAAAAGCGATAAAACATTTCCTACATTCAAACGAGTTCGCTGCTGGCGCCAAAATGAGAGCCAAGTTCAAAAGGTCGGCAGGAAACCCCTTTTGGTCACATGACCTCACCATCATGGTCTGAAAAATCTCTCAATCGTGTGATACGTTTGAGATAGGAACCTAATGTAAACATGCTTTCGCATACTAATAGTAACCATCTTAACTGCTTTCGCGAAAAATAATTATTGTAAAATTAATTTACATTGATTTCTAATTATGTGACCGCCGCATTGTTTGGCAACAATCAACGGCGCGAAACGACATACTTTTATCATTCGGGCAGAAAGCACATTTTCATCATTAGCCCACGTTGTTTCACGCGACAGTCGCTATACAAAATAAATATTTTGTCACTCACCATCGTCTTGGTTTTCATCCGCATCATCCTGATAAAAGTCTATGTCTGAAATAAAAATAGGTTACATCAGAAATGGCGCAAAACTTCAAATTTACAGAAACAAAGTAAGTAATCTGAGGTGTACTCACCCGCCATCTTGTAAAAACCACGAGGTATGGATCGGAGGATATGGTTGGTTGTTTGGATAATTTTAAGATGACCTGATTGGCTGGAATTAAAATGTTTTCCCCTTGTCTTACGGAAGGTCCCGAATTACATTACGAAAATGGCCGATGAGTCATAAAAACTATTATTTTCTTGTGAATGGCATTGCTAGTTTACTACGTTATTTGACAATCTACTATACAGTAATCCGAACCTTGTTGTATTTCAAACATCCACAGTGAATGAGAATATAGGCTTAGTTGGCTTTCACATAAAGCTGAGGTTTTGGCTAAGCGCGTTTAAAACGACGGAGAGGTATTATCTTATTATAGGCCTATTGGTGTGTCTAGAACAAAGAACTCGTCTCTGTTCGTTTCAGAGCAACCATTCGAAGATAGTATTAGTATTGGCGAATACACACATGGCGATATACCCGTCATAAATAATTATTAAATTAAGTAAAACCATGCCTCCGAGAAATGAACAAAAAACTAAATATAATGGTAATTACTACTAAATGGAAAAGAAAATATATTCAGCCTAAACTCAATAATTTTTAATATTTATAATTCTATATAATAGAAAATGTTTCGAACTTCAAACTACTAGGCGTAATCATGGATAACCATATTCAGTGGAATGAACATGTAAAATATGTTTCAAAAATCATTAACCAAAAATTATTTTAACTTCGCAAACTACCGGTATTAAATTTCGGTCTGTTTTACAAATCAAATATTCAACTCTATTTTGATTACTGTTCACCTATATAGGACTGCTCTATAGTCATAGAGGCGGGGATCCACGGTGGCTAGGTGGGTAAGGCGCTGGCTCGCTAGCCTGGAGGTCGGGTGTTCGATCCCTGCATTGGCAGAGAAAGTTCATCCCGATTTTCCGACGTGGTTTCCCCTTGTCAGTGATGCAGGACGGAGGGTCTGACAAGGACAGCTGTCTAGTCCTTCGGATGAGACGGAAAACCGAGGTCCCGTGTAAACATTGGAATGCACGTAAAAGATCCCTTGGCAGTTGGAATTCGATATAAGAGTAGGCGATAGTGCCGCTGCCCGGGCAAAATTTCCCTCATAGCACACTGTATGGCGTATGCCCGTCTTCATTAGCCCAGTATAGGAGCAGAACAGTAGGACGTTAAACCCCATTTCATTTCTATAGAGACGTTAATATCCGATTGACGTTAAATTTATGCACACTGTTTAAGGTCATGAGACGAAGAAGCCCATTGATTTTCAGCGATTTCCGATATTTACTGCCAGAGTTATGGCCCTTGATCACTTCAAAAATTCTTGTGGACGCTCTAAAGGCTAAAGTTAATATCCGATTGACTTTAAATTTATACACAGTGTTTAAGGTCAGGAGACGAAGAAGCCTATTGATTTTCAGCGATTTCCGATAATTACTGTCAGAGTAATGGCCCTTGATCACTTCAAAAAATCTTGTGGACGCTCTGGAGGCTAAAGTAAATATCCGATTAACTTCAGATTGATACACATAGTTTAAGGTCTTGAGGCGAACAAGTATATTGATTTTCAATGAATTTTGATAACTTGAACAGCTAAATCCATGATATTAAATGTTTCATACTAAACTTTAGCATGGGGCAAAACTTTATAAAAACCAAACAAATTCTAATGATTTTCTGATAATTACTTAACGATTTAGCTGCTGTGGACGTATGTTTCTTTGCCTGGCAACCTATCTTTAAAATATTGCAGTAATATTAACAATAATCGTTGGATTTTAACTTTCGATACATTTTGGAAGGCCGGAGACAGGGCACATAGATACGCTACGATTGGTTTTTGATTTTCGGCAAATCTTCGCAGATATTAGGCGCCAAATTTAGAAAATTCAAATTTTTACCAAAAATGTTTTTATTTATTAATATTTTTGGGTCGTGTTTTACACAGAATTAAAGAGTCATCTGACTGCTAATTCAGTTTTTCAGTCCTAGATTAATTGTTCGATTTGTATCAAACAAAGTTCATATGCTCCGTAATTTTACCAAAAACTACAATTTCGACTGTTATGTACCACTTGTCGAAAGCAAATATTATTTTTTTATAAACTAATATAACTAAAAGGGTGTGGTCTTTAAAGGCGGAAAAAACTGTGAGCTCAGTTTTTATTTAATTTCGATTTCATTTTCAAGCAAATTCGATTAAGAGGTGGAAAATTTACCTATTTACAACCCATTCAGGCTTTTCAGATTTTAAAATATTTCTACGTAACTTTTATAAACTTGTAGCTATAATCAATAGGAATAAAATGTATGCTAAAATTGGTTTGTAATATGAGCAGTTACCGAGAAATCGTCAATTTTGCATGAATCCCTTTTTACGCTATTTTGCCTGTAAAAGAGTCAATTATTATTGGATTTTCAAAAAATTGACACCACTTGATGCGTAATGTCAATTTTGACTAGGTCAAACCAATTTAACATTTTAAATGTCACCGGAAATGACCTAGTTTGGGCAAAAACTATTTATAGCCTTCGAGACAAATAATTTATTCATATTAGTCGTATTTGTTATTTGTTTAAGATTTTGATATTTGATTCCAGTCAACTAATAGAATGAACCCATACGATCATATAGATATCACAAAGTGGTTTCCAACTTGTTCAGTTGCGGAGAAATAGACGATTTTCAACAGGTAACTTTTCAAGTCTTTTAATCCCTAAAAGTGTCAATTATTATTCGATTTTCATAAAATTTTCACTGTGTGATACCTAATGCCATTTATGATTTCGTTCAAGTAATTTAAGATTTTCATTATCACCGGAAGTAACGTCATTTTGGCAAACACTGTATTTTTAGTCTGTAAAACAAATATGTGTTTGAAGTAAGCGATTTTCATTATACGTATAAAATTATGATATTTGATTCCTATGGATAAATAGTATTAATCAATACAATCATATTGAGATCACAAAATTGTTTCTAACATCTTCCCTTGCCGAGAAATAACCAATTTTGTCAGGATCACTTTTTGGGATTTTTCGCATTTTAATTTCAGTTTATGGGTTCTGGGTTAATTATTTATTGCCCATTTAAAGCCTATATGCCCCGTGGTGCAAATTTTCAACTCCCTTCTACCGATACAAATTTCTGTCGGCACCGGAAGTGACGTAATTTTGCCCAAAACTTGAATTTTGACGTGTCTAAAGATGTTTCAAAAAGCAAATATTAATGTTTACAAATCTAATAGATCAAGATGAATGCTCCTACTAATGACGAACAATATGTCATGCTTAGTCTTTTTTTTTTATTTCGGTTTTGCATTTGCACCATTGATTTAAAGGTGAACAAGCCAACACATATACTATTCAAAAAAAGTAGGGGATATTTGATTTTGGGGGCATAATACTAAAATATGCAAATGACTACGAAAAAAGTCACTATAGAACCTAACAGAAGAAACATTTCCAGTTACATGTGACGCCCAAACGCACCAATAGCTACCGCATGGAATGCAGGTGATGCTTGGGATCATCATGGGGGTCCAACCCAAGATTTGAATGTTACAGTCATTGTGGCATTGAATTCCAGGGTGGAAACATCAGTTTAATTGTTTTAGTGACCAGAAAACAAATTTTGATATGCGTCGGCTTACCCAAAATGAAAGGTTACGTGTCTTGGCATGCTACAGATCGGCACAACACAGGCGGTTGTGGCGCGGACGATGAATGTTTCTCATAAGCAGGCTATGGTCCAGATACCGTGATACACAATCTGTACAGGACAGACCACGCTCAGGTCGACCAAGGGCGACAACTCAAGCCCAGGATCGATTTATCCGTACCTTGGCCTTGAGAAATCGTGTCATCACAGCAAATCAGATCAGCGCTCGTCTTCAAACAGACACTGGTGTGAGAGTGAGTGGCCAGACGATTCGGAATCTACTGCATAGGGGTCACCTTCGCGCCCGACGTCCTCGCGTGATCCCTTGTTTGAGAGATCATCACATTCAGGCAAGACGTCGTTGGTGTAGGGATCGTCAACACTGGGATAATCGACGCTGGAGCAATGTGATGTTTTCAGATGAGTCAAGGTTCACTGTTGATTTTTTGGACGTTAACGTCATCAGACATGATCGATTTGGGGGTGGTTCTGTTATGGTGTGGGGAGGCATCACTGTTGCTGGAAGAACGGCTTTACATGTTGTTGCAGGGCGTGTTACAGGCCAGTACTACCGGGACAACATCTTGGCAGTCCATGTTGTGCCGTTCGCACGACGTCATGGCCGCCGTTTCATCTTCCAGGATGACAACGCAAGATGTCACAGGGCCAGGATCGTTACAGGTTACCTCCAACAACAGAACATCACCACATTACCTTGGCCAGCACTGAGTCCCGACCTCTCCCCCATCGAGCATGTCTGGGACATGCTTGGACAGAGGTTATGTCAACGTCAACAACGTCCTGCCAATGTCCAAGAACTTGCTGCTGCGTTGCAACAGGAATGGGACAATCTGGACCAAAATGACCTTAGACGTCTCATTAGGAGTATGCCACGTCGGATCAATGCTTGTTTGGCAAACAGAGGAGGATTTACCCGTTACTGACTTGGTTGTGATGCTGTGGTAACTTTGCTGTTTGACCCCGGGTATCATTTTACCCTTATAATGGTCAGTCTGTGCCTTACTTAGTCTAACGATCATTTGGAATAAATCGATGAATGTGAACTTCATTTCATTTTGTCATTTGTTTCTTCTTCAGTTTCATTAGGTGACTTTAATAACACTTAAAAATCAAATATCCCCTACTTTTTTTGAATAGTATATTAATTAATCGCACATTTAATTTTTTCAAAAGTATCAAGCAATCAAACTGATTATCAAGTTACATCACCCTCTATCAGATAGAATCAAAGTTATCTTGTCCCAAAGCATCGACCAATGGAATTCCTTAGCTCTGTTAAGATTTAGCTCCAAATGTTAATCATTGAACTCAGTCAAAACATTCGCCTAATGAACATCAACATCAAGTTTAAACATTCTGCCTCAATTAAAAGCA